TTACCTTTCCTTGGTTCAATTTTAGAGCCTGATGCATTTGAAAACGAGTTACACTCTTTTTAATAGCATTATCTTCTGCGATAAATTCTGAGTGTGGAAGGAATCCACACTTAGGCTGGCTTCAAAAAAAAGAAAATGGAGATAGCCGTGAGAAAACATACTATGGAAACGTATAGAAAACAGTTTCATTTTAAAAGAAGAAGAAGAAGAAAACGCTGCATAAAGAGGAAGACTAACTAAAGCTTTTAGGATACAAGTACCTTAATTTCTACAGAAATGCTGCATGCCTCTTTACACATACCTGACAGTAGGAGAACGTGAGTACCATAAGAAATCAATGTAAATACAATAAATGTCCATATCTAAGCCTGCTTGGTTAGTATGTAGACGATTATAAAGCTAGCTATCCACTGCGAATTTTTGTTGTTCTTTTTCAAGAAACAAACAGAAATTGCAGTTATATTGTTAGTAGTAGCATGAAATTGATTTAACCACAAAGTATTTACAAAATCAGGACATAAAAATTAAAACCATTTTTGCACTCAAACAATTGAAAGTAATATAGGAAGGATTATGACCTTAGAAAACAGAGGTATTTACTGAGTTTTATGTTTTATTGGTCTATTAAATGGGACGCCAATTACTATTGTTCTCTTTTTATTTGATAGGTCCATGCTAACAGCTTTCTGTAATATAATGTTCAGTTCTTTACTACAGGGTATGAAACATGTGCATGTTAACATTTTAGTGATGAATCAAGGGATAAAGAGGATTTGAAAATTATTACCGAGTGGGAACATTGAATGATCGGACATGAGCATAACAGAAACACATAGGGGATTGACCTTTGCAGCATCAACACGCCAAGCAGGACGCTGTGAGAGGACATTGCTTTCAACGGTTTCCAGAAATTCTTGGGTCACCTGAATGCTAATCTGTCAAAGAAAAGGGAAGAAACAAGATGTAGATATTTAACCATGCTCCTATATAGGCAACTGAATATATCGAATCAGCTAGAAAAGGAAAACAAAATTTACAACCTTGCAAAACTTAATCTTCAAACTCATAGATCATCATAAATTGATGGTCTAAATTTATTCTATCCAAACAATAAATAAAGAATGCACATACAAAAGAGCAACTGCATAGATAGATGCTCTAGGATCTTAAAGGATCAAAAACTCATTGAAAATGTGCCGAATGCCTTATTATTAACTGCAGAAAAGAAGTATCTGGAAAAGGGAAAAAATTATTTTTCTTCTATTCATATATTAGAAAAGATGATATACAGAAAACCAGATCAGATACGAAATGACAAGAATCTAGCAGCATAACACACCCCTGCATCAACGTGTCCAGAACCCAAAAGCGGGCACATCACATGCTGCACAAAATAGTGCTGAGCTATTTCCCTTGTAGGAGCTGATACAATCTCATTAACTTCTTTCCACAAGACGCATTCCTGATTGGTTAGACCTAAATAACCATTCCCATTTTCAGACCCATTCCTTGGTACCTTCTGTATCCGCAATACTTTTCCAACCTAACAAAAAGGAATAGAAATGCACTTAAGAAATCAAACCCTTTTCAGACTTAACAAAATATGATGCTCCAGAACACTTCCACTAATCAGTTTTACATTTTATTTGGTACAATTCTTCAGTGCAAAAAAAGTAAAATCATTCCTGGATCAAAGAAAAATCTCCCTTTTTTCAAGAAAATCAACAAGCATTCTTAAACCATTTGCTAAGCAAGAAAGGAGACCCAATTACTCTTCCGTAGTTTATTTGCACAGGAATCACTTCTTCAACCAACAATAATATTTGTGGGGTAGAGGGCAGTGGCGGAGCCAAGAATTTTAATAAGGGAATTCAAAAATTTTGAACTTGTGACCTAAAGCAATTTTTGAACTACCTTTGTAACTACAATGAAAACGTCTCTTATATCAGGGGGATTCAAAAGTTTATATATACAAAAATATTATTTTTGCCCTATTTGCGCAGTACGATTTTCCAACAGAGGGGATTCAACTGAAATCCCTTCCTTGACTGTGGCTCCACCACTGGTT